CACGTCCATCCTGTGTTCCTACATTTCCTTTAAGAGTTCGCCCTGTCATTGAGGAACTTTTCTCTCTGATATGCACCCCCAAGCAGTACAGAATTTTGAAATTCCATCTTGGGAAAATTCACGGATCCAGCTTCTTGATGTCTTCAAACATCACGTAAAGGCGAGCACTAACGAGATCGTTTACAGACAACTCTTCGCTGAGCACAGGCACAGATATAGCAGTTATTATCCGATATACACAGATGGATATCTGTGTATATCGGATACAGATATCCATCTGTGTATATGTCCCAATCAAATGATCATGTCGGGATGGCTTTTGTATTTGAAGATTACATTGAGGGCAGATGCCTGCACCATGCTTTCTCAGTTCTAACATCTGAACTAACTGCAATATATTATGGTCTTCTGTACATCTCAAAGCTCTGCCACAAAAAATTCATAGTTTATACAGACTCGTATAGTGCTCTTAAATCCTTGGAAGCTTTTCCCAACACTCAGAATCCTGTGGTAGTGGATGTTCTCAAAATTCATATAAATTTAATGATTCGAGGATATGAAATCCTGTACTGCTGGGTTCCTGGACATGCTGGAATAAAGGGAAATGAGCTTGCAGACATCGCAGCCAAATATGCTGTTGAACCGTCCACTCGCCTTATCCCTTTTAGAGACATCTGCTGTGTCATCAAGGGAAGATACGGAAAAAAATGGCAGCAAATTTGGGATGTTCAGCATCACAACAAGTTAAGAAACGTCAAGCCTAGAATTGAGCATTGGGATTTTGCTGGAAATCGTAAGGAGGACGTTCTTTTGACTCGCCTCAGAATTGGTCACACTAGAGTCACACATAACTATCTTCTCAAAGCTGAAAATGAGCCTGTTTGTTTTAATTATAATGTTTGTTTATCTGTTCGTCATATTTTAATTGAGTGTTCATGTTTTAATAGTCTTCGCCAGAAATATTTTAATAGCTGTGACTTACCTCTCGACCGTTTAATCGGAAGAGAGGTCAATTGTAATTTATTTTATTACTTAAAAGAGACTGGCTTTTATTACCAAATGTAATTTGTTTTAATTACTGTGTCTTGAATTTTAATGTGTGCTTTTAACTTAAGTTTATATTACTTCATCCTCTGGATCTGGTACATTTGTCTACTTGTTTTTATTTATTGAATTTTAATGTCATCAATTGTAATCATCCCATCTTGTGTTTGGCGCGTTATAATCATCTTTGGTTTTTGCGCCAGAATCACTCACTCACTCACTCACTCTAGAAGACCCATACAGAGTTAAGATATCTATAGTCCGTGGGACCCCATCCTCGCGGGCGCAACCGCCGAAGTCCCCGCCCGGCTTTTACAAAGCATTGGGCAGAACTAAAACGTCACCAGTACGGTCCTTGCCAAGCCTGAACCAACCTGAGTACAATACTCGGGTTAGTCATGTGAAGTCAAATTACATACCTCCGTGGTTGAGACTGCCTAGGTACAGATCCTAACCAGCACTTCCCAGGCATTCGCCTGAGTCAATCCTCGGGGATAACATAACGTATTAGGATGGACTGATTCATCTTACATTTCTATTAGATTTAAAGTACATAAGGAAATTAGTTTTGTGTAGCCGCCATGGCTGGCAATAAATGTTGTGATATACTTTGGCAATGAAAGGGATGTTTTATGTGCTTGGGGTACGTCAGACCATGTTGTTTCCACCCGTAAAAAATTAATTTAGTATAAATACAGATCCAGATAAAAGTATGGGTACATTAACGATGTACCATAGGGTTAACTGGTAAAGCCTTCCAATAATAACTGTCCCTTAAAATTGTATCTTACATAAGTTCACAAAGAGTTCATATAGCAAATTGCAGGTGATATATGCTCAGCCTCCTTTACTAATCATCGACTAAACCTACCCGATGGGCAACGCATCAGGAGAACGCACGGGCCAAAGTAGCAGTGCGACCTGGGGGGTACACTGCAGAATTGTTGAACGTTGCATGTCACGTGCAGTCGTGTATTGTGCTGTTGAAGCTTGGCCGTTGGCAAGCCTTGAAAAACGGATGTTAAGGAACAACAGGGTCCAAAACTCCAGAAATGTAGCGGTGATTATTGTGCGTACAGGCAATAAGTATTAAGTGGAAGCGGAGTAAAACCCACGGCACAGCAAATTATAAGACCACTTAGCATACTAATATGATGATTAAAATGCAAGGGTTACGATGCCTATCAGCATGTGTCGTAGATTCGGAAAAAATTTTCGTCATGAAGTAGAAAACTCGAGATTTGACTGGAAAATAAAGTGTCATAACTCTTGTTTGTCCATGTCTGACGTTCAGCGCATCATTGCAATCACATACCTCAGTTGTGTAGAATTGGGAACCCCAGCAATGGACGCTTTGCAAAGAATCTCCTCCTCTGCACACAACATCGAATGGTATGTGCCGACATAGGTTCCTGTGCAACAGGATCTTGAGCTAGATTTCTTGATGCTGTTATGCAGTCCATCATTACGATGCGCATAACATGCCTGTCTTCTTGTTCGGTGGTGTCATGACACTGTATAAACGTTTTCGATAGGTTCGTTCTTTCCTACACCCACCTATTCCATAATCGCATCACTTCGGCTTGATTTCGTACAACACGCGCACCGATTTCTCAGAAGACCAATCTGCACTTTCCATTAACCACAGTTCTTTATCTATCAAACTCAACAGCTTGTTCGAATAACTGCCGTTTCTTTTACGATAAAGCTTTTCACGCAAAGGAACCACGGAAAATATTAAATTCCATTATTTCAAACAACATGTTCTCTTCTTTTTATTGAAGTTGTTTTCAGATGAAGTTATTGCAGTACATGATTATCATATACATTACAATACTAATTATTCGTGCATCCTGTCGCAGTCTACGCATGTCGGAAATTCCAAATTTATCATCAATCTGATTTCCTATTCTACTCGAAAGAAAAATTACCAGAATAATTTTTGCAGCATTTATTTTCGTTTCTCTTACGAATTGGCTAAAATGAACACAGTAAACATTAATACATACTTTAATCATTAAAAATGTGCCTCGTGGCTCTTAAGTATTCTCTGCTCTACCTAATTTACTTTTCGATTAAACGTTTTGCAGTCTTATTAGGTCTGTAGTTACTAAGCTTGGATCATTTAGTAGATTCTCACTATCCTACACGTTGCAGAGCTGTTGAGAATTTTCCATAATTAATAAACTAAAATACTTACACTAGCCAATTGGATGAAGATCCTTCTAAGAAAGAGATTTATGAAATGCATTCCTATTCTAAACTAACAATAAAACTATTCTAAACTAAGATCTACTTAACCACTTTCTAGTTTAAAAAAATTTGACTTATCACAACTTACTCAACCCAACGGTGGCTTATGGCTGTTACAATAACTGCAATTTTTTAAAAGAATTCTTCACGAGCAAAATTTTGCAGTTGCATTACTTTCCACAGTATATTCGCTTGTGTATAAATAATATCTGGTTGTAAAGTTTTCCGCCAAACAAACGTTATTATATTACGGTCTTGTATTATCTTGATCAAATATTACCTTTCAGCGCCAGAACTCAGTTCGAAGTTTTTCCTTGATAGCAGCGCAACAAGGACTAGTATCTCGCTGTACACCTTACTGTCGAGGGTTTTACCTTTTTACAGATATTTGTGAATAATAAACCAGATACAAAGCATGATCTTTCTATTAGTCAAATTGTACTTTGCGACGCTGCCGACGGGCTCACCGGGCGTAGACAACTCCCTTTTCGGCCTATGCTGTTGAAGTAAATCTATTTTTATCACAAGTGACGATCAGGTCCAGAACTTTGTCCTTGCGTGGATATTACAGCAGATTAGTGCAGGCCCGAACACGTCTGTCATCTGCTTGAGTCAGCTCATGCAACAACCAGCGATTCAACTTGTACGTCAAGTTTATGAGATGCATCGCGCGATTAATGGGCATGGCACTAACGCCTAACTCCTTAGCAAGCTCTCGAGTGGTTGCATACTGATCTTTTTCCACATGTTCTCGCAGGCGGGCTTCATCAACATCAGTAGGCCGGACAGAGAGCTCTGCTTCTTGAATGTCGTAGTCCTTGTTTTTGAACTTTCGGTACTAAACTTTCACAGTGTCATATGATATACAACATTAGTACCTAAAGCTGGACGTATGATTTGGTGACATTCTGTAGCTGACTTTTTGCAACAGTACCAGAAGTAAATGATGGTTCTAATCTGGTAGCGTGATAGTTCCATTTCAGACACTTTGTACCTAATAATAACGATATTTTTTTTTCAAATTTCATAACACTGTGTCTTTCTTTCAGATGCCAAAAAATCGTTTGAAAAAATATGATTAAACACGCCAACGCGAACTGTTTGCACAGACGATACTTGCAGTGGCGGGAAACTTTCGTTAAAACCCGATAAATATTTCTAGTAAAAATATATGATGTGGTACATTTGATTTGTTCAATATAGTATTTTAAACGACAGTGAAAACACTTCCCCTATTTTTCGAACTACCTGAATTAAAAGATTATATATATATAATATGGTGATTATTATCCTAAAGTGCAATGTTTTGTTGAAATTGCTTTTAAAATATAATAATCCCATTGAATTATTTATATGAAACTGGATAATAAAATTTGTATTTTACAGTACAAATGTGCAGTCATTAACTATGAAGACATAAAAAAATATCTTAAATACACTGACTATGAAATCTTACAGTATTTCTGCTATCTGGACATATGTCATACGACAATTAAAATACATCAGTTATAAATTTAATGTCTCTAACATCCCTGTCCACTAGTTGAGAGAAATTTCTTGAAAAGTGTCCTGACATACTCATGTGTTTATAGAACTAGCAATAAATTTCTTTGCTCAACCGAATTCTGTATGTTTTACGTATTTTAAAAATTTTTGCAGATACTGAACTGTAAGTGTAATTTTTTTTTTAATTTTAATTTCAGGGAACTTCTTTAACAACACTTCGAACGACAAGTGTAATCAGCGATGAAGACTTTTATCCATCCAAAAAAGAATCCATTTCTTATATAACAGACGCAAAAGTATCTTAACAACCAAAGAGAATAGTATGGTACTTTAATTCATATTATAAAAATTAACTAAAATCTCTTGTACAGTCTGTAATCTATGTATCATAGATGAAATTTCTTTTCTAACTGCTAAATAAACACATATTGTTCTTCAAAATACTGTTTTCTTCGGATACATTACACTTGCAAATTAACACATTTTCTGATTACTTCTTTGTTAAATTAGGTAGATAATAACAGCAAAGAAAAAAATAGCCATTAGAAATGTAAAATCATCATTCACAAAAGTTGATTACTGAATAGTGCTTTCAATAATGGCAAATGACTGAAATAGGCATACGAAATTCTTCATTAATAATAAATGATTAAATGCAAGTGTTGGAAATTTTACCTTAATCATACTTTGTTGGTTAATTGACTTCTTAATGCTAACTTGAATAAAAATGACTAGATGTTACAAATGTTGTTTGCTATGTGCAAAATCAAGGTATTAATAAACTGATCTAAATTAATAAACTGAGAAATTGCTGCCCAATGGCTAAAAAGTGGTAATACGGAAAATCAGTACAAAAAGAGAAGTCGTAAGAATTGAAATTACACAATCTAAACATTAAAACGTACAAAATAGTCTAAAGCCATTCTAAAACTAAGAAACTTTATTATAATATAGTGATGTGCCAAAAATATATCTACAGATAAGCCTTTGCAGAATGCATTTCACTATTACATATACGTCATCTGATTGCGTCCACCGAATATATATATAACATGGCAGACATCTGTGGAAAGTTTTAGAGCTGTTTTATGCATAACGGCATAAGTTTAATTCAAATAATTTTTAATACAGTCTAAAAGTTAAAATTTCTGATACGAGTTATAACATTCCAGAGATAAAAGCAATTATTGGGTTTTTATATGACCATTATTGCAAGCGCCTCTACCAAAATTTTGAAATTAAGAGAACACTGTGGCATAAGAAGATTGTAGACGAACATGACCATCAACAGCTGGAGAAAATCTCTTCACATGATAGAACCGAAACTCTCACATAACGTACAAATTCAATGCTGCGGAATCAAAATAAACATTACTGCGAAAACTGTGGGACATCCTTTTCATTACATGGACTTTAGAAACCGATACCAAGCTGGACTACCAACATTCTTGTGTGGTACACAAATATGTAGCTGCCCTGGGCTCAATTCGGAGCCTAGACACAATGACGAAAAACAAGTAGCTCGGTCTCGCCACTGTCGTTTCCAGCTGTTTCGGACACACAGGAGATTTATTAAGTGGAAAACCTCCCATGAATTCCATATGTTAACAGGATATTTTAAAACAGTTGGAGATTCGCTTTAGGCTTGATTTCGGAGCTACGAACGAGTCTGCGTGACTCCGTCGCTTCGCTCTGGGAAATGTCCCGGGACGCGTAATGGCAGACCGCACATTGAGTTGAACAGTGTTAAGCGAATTTCGCTTACTGCGCATGCTTGTTGGTGTACCTTTGGCGCGGGGAGAAATATTGGCGACTAAGCAACCCTACGTTAGCTTATTCGTGATCTCCATGGCTTTCTAGTGTGTTCGAGTGAAAAATTGCAATGTTGTGGAACTTTGCTTATTAGTTATTTTAACGTCCATGCCGATTGCCCTTGCTTATTTTTCTAATATATGTTTCATTTTAATTTGTCAATAACAGTGCATTTAATATTTGTTAACATATGTTCGTAATAATTATAAAACGTTATTTAAATGTAATTTGTTTACATGTTATAATTCAGTAATTGTAAACTGGACTATCTCGCTTAGTTTGTTAGCGTATATTCGCGCTTTTATTTTCTCATTTCAAAGAATTTAATAACTAGCATTAAAGAATTGTAAAATTTCTTCAGTGTTATTTGCAAGCACTTGTTATATTCCTCAGTGTTTCTTTATGTATGTACTAATGGAACGTATGGTAAATCCTGAATTGTTTTTATTGCTTAAAAGCATAATGAATAAATTTTCAACTAATATATCCTAAATTTCAGTCTTTTTCTGAACGAAAATTTGTACAGTTCCAAAGGAATGTGCAGAATTTCATAAGCATTATATTTTACATTTTGAATGTAAACACTGCTTCACATTACTTCGCAATAATTTCAACTTTCCAGTTGTTGGAGCAATACAGGAAAAAAATCTAATTTTACAAATGCAAGTGTTGGAAATTTTACTTGACACTGCACGTATACTCTACGAAGACTTAAACGCCGGATGTGTTTGCAATCAGATGGCGGTACATCTACCACATACCGTATTTATCTTCTTTTCAAATCGCGCCAACATAATAATTACGCAAAATTTGTTTCTGGGCATGCTCAATATGCGACATTCATTTAACAGTGTTCAACTCAATGTGCGGTCTGCCATTACGCTCCCGGGACACACTGGCATTACGCGCCGCATGGAAAATTATGTTGCCCTTCTCTCGATCGAACCCAAACTTTGAAGGTTACTCTAAAAATTATGAATGCTACGAAATGATTATGAAAATATTTTAACTGAAATTTAGTGGAATCCTTTCAATAAATATTTCTGATAAGTGAGAATGCGCATCCTTTCTATACATCTGTTCATCCTCTGCATTCATTCTGATGGATTTGGCCTTTCTAACAAAATAATATACAGCTACATAGATTTATGGACGAAAAAATTTGGTTACAGGGAACACGAAAGAGAGTTTGGAAGTCCTGCCATGACCGTGCATTCAACTATCTCAACATTATCAAACATAAGTGGGATAAAATTATTGATCGCTCTGCAAAAAGTACAGTGTTCATTGACTACAGAATATTCTCTTGTACTCTTGAAATCTATGTTTCGACATTTTTTAACTCTCATGAATGACTGCTAATTTTTAACTGGTGCACCAAACTTTTTGGCCTGAAAATGATACCCTGAAATATTGATAGAAGAGTTAAAATATCATTGTAAATTAGATAAATGTAGCATTACGTAAGAAAGCATATGTAATATTTGTTTTAAGAAAAAATGTAAAAGTGAAGTAAAATTTAAAAATCTTCCACTACAATAAAATAGCTACAATTACATGCAAATGTACGAATGACAAATTAAATTATGAAGTACCACTTTCTGACAAAATATTATCATATATTTACGTGTGCATATACAGGGTGGTTATAATTAAAGTGACCCCGTTTAGACCCCTGTACAACCCGTTCTGCCTATCGGATTTTGATGAAACGTGGTATATATATATATATGTTATATAGACTATGGGGAAAAGGTTTCTGCAATAAAAAAATAGTTCAAATTTTTACCACCAGATGACAATTTTCAAAGAAAATCGTTCTGCGAGCCGTTGTCATCGTTAATCATGCCCTTACAGAAGAAAGATTGAGCTATACTGCTAAAACTGTTTTATCAGACTATTGTCTTCAAGCAAGATGGAGCAACTCCCCACATTACATTGGGCGCCAAGTCAATTACACACCATCTTGTCATCTTGTCATCAACCATCTTGTCATCTTGTCATCAACACTTTTCGCGCTACCACTGAACACGCTATAATGCGTTTTCAACACGTAATTGATGTCAATGGAGCACACATTGAGCACATTCTGTAACTGAATAAATTTTAATTTCAGTTCAGTTCAGTTATGTGATGTTTGGCAGCCTTTAGTAGATCTCCTATTTTTACTGGCTGTCATGGAGATGTGCCCTTACGCTACATTTTAATTGATTCTGACAGATTTTTTATCCTTCTTTATGCGTCACAATTCCCCGGGTGGTCAAAATTTGGACTACTTTTATTGCGGAAATCGTTTCCCCATATAACATATATACAAAATTTCATCGAAATTCAATAAGTAGAACGGGTTTTAGATGGGCCTTAATAGAGTCACTTTAATTATAACCACCCTGTACATAGAAATGACAGAAAAATCGGCACAGATGAGCGTGTGCAGAACACATAGTAACTCTACCTAAACTGTTAAACGGTGTAATACCTGAGCACCTGGAAAACAAGGCCCTACCCCTAATCGAATTCTAAGTTTCCTAATTAATACTTCGCATTAACTGGGCAATAAAGTTATGATAAGTGTTAGAGCATAGTGATAATGATTTAAATATTTAAAGTTTTTTCTGTGCCATTCGAGCTAGGTGCAAGAGCCTAAAATGAAAGGGGTCAACACACTGGCAAGCACGAAAGGTTTTAGTGCTGCTAATAAAGAACTAAGATGCAGTAGGAGCAAGTTGACACATGGAAGAAACTTCACAGTAGTACTACAACAAAATGCAAGATATACATAAATATACAATAAACAATAACTATTGATTCAATACAGAAGATCCAATAAAAACCATATTACGTGTTATAAATATTCAGGATAGCCATAGGTCTGTTTAAATTAGACAGCTCATTATAATCATAGTCACAGATTTTGATGGCTGCATTGTTTTTTTTTAGCTTGGCTTTCATGAAATTGCTTGGTAAGTTTGTAGTAGTGCGTTCTAAGTAATGCGACGTTCTTCGTGGATGCGGCTATTGCGTAAGTACCAAGGAGACGATTCTGCGCCGTTTGTAAACTTTTTCTATTTGATTTACAGGCATCAGCCCAGACTGGGCATGCTTAACAAAGTAATGGACGTAGAACGAAATTATACAAGAGTAACTTGTTATCTAAGGATAAAACACTGTTTCGAGCAATTCGGAGAACTCTACCTATGCACTAACAATCGAGTCATTATAGGTGGAGATTTCAACGCACACCACCGCGAGTGGAATTGCTTGGATATTAATCCACACGGACGCATAATACACAACTTTGCCCAAGCGACCAATGTTAACCTAGCATTCCCAGAAACCAACACACTGTAGGATTGGTAGACCCTCTACTATGGATTTTTCATATTAAAAAATATCAACTCTCCAAGCCAGGTTGCGAGTATGACAGAGTTATCCTCTGATCATAACCCAGTTAGGATGGAAATTACTACCAATACCTACAGTACACCACACAAAAGAGCCCTTATTACTTAACTGGGCAAGATATGCCAAAGCTCTAAGCAACACTCAGTACCCAACCAACACGATACAGTCCAGAAATGAGTTAAATGCATTCACAGAAAAATTCACCGAAGAAATGCACGAAGCAC